TCATATTCACTGTTACACACACCTCAGACTTTCTCGTGTGAAAACATTCTTTTCAGGTGTGACATTACAGATGATTTCCTCTCCTTTCATTCTTATTATCTGTGACTCTTCTTTCTCTCTATGTTCTCTCAGGAAGTCATAAATCTTTTAGTCACAGCTTTACTGGCACTCGGGTTTAAAAAGTCATTTTTACTATCTACAAAATGCTTCAGGCTGTGGTGTCCTGCTGTTTCTCTGCTATATCACTTAATATTTCACTTAAATTTATCAAGAAACATTTTTTTTTTTGTAATTCATTAAAAGATCAAAATTACAAACCATTTTTATTGGAATTGCATACAATTAAGTAATTGCGTTTATGAATTAAAATAAATTAGCACTTATAAATGCATCAAATTGTAAACTTTTATATTACAAAATGCCTTCTTTAAATATGTGTTACTTAAATTCTGTGTACAGCTGTTGTGCCAAGGAACAGTTACTTAGAGGAAATCTTAATTCATATTCTGTCATATGGACGGATACCTCTGGATGAATACCTTGTTAGGTTTTTCTACCTGGATTATTGAGCATCAGGGCTTAATGCATGTTGTTTCATTAAATGTATAATTTCAATGTCTAAAGGCTAATAATAAAACGGAAATAAAATACATCCAGTTTAAAGCTTTACATTGCCTTTAATCACTGTTAAACGTTAATTTACAGTCGATGCATATTACTGAACATGTAAGAATTCAATTAAATATTTTATTTAAAAAGTCTTGATCATAGAAATTTACAAATGTGATTTTACAACCTTTTTGTCCTGGGTATTAACATTTATTTATTTTTTGTCAAAATCAAGTATATTTCTAAAGCACATTTAAAACAAATGTTGAGAAAAGTGCTGCACAAACTGTACAAACTAAAACTAGTATTTTATATGATGGCAATGCAGGTGAACTCAAATACAATAAAAGAACCACAGAAAATACAATAATTTAGATAAATATATTAAATATGCTTATTGCACTCAATCAAAAAAAATGGTAGAATGAACAAATGAATCAAATGGTGCAGTTTGAAGCTTACTCTAGTAATTTTTCAACTATATTGATGTGCAATTCTGTGATGCAGGTATATACTCAATTAAAAAAAAAACATTTAGCCGCCATAATTTATATGGAACCTTGAGTTGTGATTAAGCTACATGAAGCTGGCTGTAATCTGTGTAGGTAAATTAATCTAGAGAAATCAGACAAGCATGGTCTCTTGGAGAAGATGTGATTTAAGAGTGAATCTGTTGCTAACTGAGAATGTTAAAAGAAAAAATCCAAAATAAGGGCCAAACAATAGTTTTTATGTTTTCTAGCAGAAAACATTCATGCCCTTGATGACTGAATCTACACCAACATAAAAGAAAGAATAAGAGGAACTTACAAATTTTGCTTCATTTTATTTTTTTTTATCTTTTACACACATCAACCACTAAAATGAGAAAAATCTTGTGCAGATTTTTTAAATGACTTTATTACTTTATTGTAGAATAGCACCTGGAAGACCATTGGAACAGCACAGTGTAGAATAGAGGTATGATACATGATACATCCCAAATTGAGCTTTACATTAAATGTTTTGTATGTACCTGTCAGGAAAATTACAGGTTGTTAAATAGTTCAGCAGAGTTTCCTTTAAAAACATTTAGTTTTGAAGAAGTAAGCTTGTTGATATAGTGTCAAAGAAGTCATAAAGCTCAGGAAAAAAAAAAGTTTGCATTATTAAAACATACAAACTCTTCAAGGAACCATTAAAATTGCTTTAAGATTCAAATTGGACACTGCAGAATTATTTTTACTAATCAATTAATGTCTGCTAATTCTTATTTTTGGTTATTGATTATATATATCAAAATGCAGTTGTTTTGTTGTTCAAGTTATTATAGGTAAATGTATTTTTAGTAGGGATGCACAATATTATCGGCATGGTATCGTATCGGCCAATATTAGCGATAAGGTTAAATATCGGACATCGGACATTCCATCAAAAAAACTCACTGATATAAAAGGCTTCTGTTTTAAATTAACTTTTAATTTAAGAACTATCAAGTATATCCATGAATGCACTACTACTTAAGCACATTTCACTTGCCGCTTGTAAACAGGTTGAGTTTAGATTTGTGAAAATTTACAAATTTGCACCGTTCGAGTGTTGTCATTGTGTTACAGAGAGTAAATGTCATGAATAATTTTGGCATTAAACATAATCCAAGTTAAAGTGTTACATCATTTTCAACCCCCTTTTTGGCATCTGCATTTGGTAGCAGTCCAAATTGAGAAAGACCATGCAGAATAATGTATTTTAATTCCACAGCAGAAAAAGACATGTAGTCTCTGTAAGTAGGTCTAGGGGGAAAAAAATAGCGATATTGGTATCGGTTATCGGCCAAATAAGTTTTAACATATTTGCATATCGAATATCGGCCAAAAATCCAATATCATGCATCTTTGATTTTTAGTAGGGATGGGGCCTATCCGGTATCGGTATCGGCCTCCGATACTAGCATAATTTACTTATCTGATTTTTCTGATCCAACCTGCAGAGATTTCCGATCCATGAAACATGTCTGTGTCCTGCTGCTCTGCAAGTTGGCTTCAAACTATGGAATGGATTTCCTGAACAGAGGCGTGTCTCATGAAGCCCAGAGTAATAAGACCCACCTCACATTCAGGAAATCCATTTTCATAGTTTGCAGCCAGCGAAAACGTGAGCACTGAGTGAGCAGCACTGTGGCTAACGACTAACCAACTTTTCATCATAACATGTCCGCTGTGTGGAAGTATTTTACACTAAACACGGCAAGACAGCAACGTGCAATGTCTGCAGAGCCGCTGTACCGAGAGGGGAAGCTCGGTCGTGACCTATAATCTTAATAAACATTTGACAAAGCACCACATTAAAGAGCACGAGGATTGTGTAGCCAGGCACCGCGGTAAAGTTAGTTTTATGTTGGACGTTCGAGCTCCGTGGCTTCAGCGGTGTGTTCCTCTCGTTCAGTCCGAAGCAGGCAGTCTGATTTCGGTCAGCCGTTCTCAGTCTGCCCGTCTTGGAGGAGGAGCAGACTTCAGCGCGGCTGACTGAAATCAGACTGCCTGCTTCGCAGTTTGATTGAATATTTGCAGCCAAGATTTAGTTATCGTTTACCCTCCAGGAGATATTTATCAGTACAACAGTAGACAATCGTTAAAAAACATGAATTGAAAAATAAAATAAAATTACATTAAAAAAAAAAAAAAAACAGCTAGATTATAAAGCGATATAAAATACTAAAAACAGAAACATGTCTGTGTTGGTTTTTGCCATGAACTTAGCAGATGTTTGAAGCCATTTAATCACTTTAATATCCACATGGGCACATTGTTTTTATGCTATTACTGCTTAGTGTATATTTAGTTTATATTTTTCTTTGTTCATATCTAAGATCTTATTGCTGTTTTTTTCTTTTACATTTTATTGCGGGATGTAACTGGGACCCTGTGTACATAATCTCATTCCACCACATGTACCACATGTGGTGTGTATGACAATAAAACTTTCTGACACTGACTTTAAAGCTAGGAATAAAAATGTGTTTTGTGTTAGCAGGATGTAATTGTAACTTTACAACTCATCCAACATTAATTAAACTTACCTCAAGCAGCCTTTTTGAACATGCATGCATATGTTTGTACAAATTTTACTTGCCTGTAGAGGAGATTATTACAGCCTCATATGAAATCAGTAATGATGATATCGGAATGGTATCGGTATCGGCCGATATCCAGATTAGGTCTCGGGATTGGATCGGAAGTAAAAAAAAAAAAAAGTGGATTGGTGCATCCCTAATTTTTAGTAATTAAAAAATATATTGTGTAATACTCATAACCCGTGATTTTTTATTTATTTATTTGAGGCTAGCAACAATTCTGACAAAATCTTAAAAATGTCCAAGCCTAATTTAACAGGTTACTTGTCCTCGTAGCTTTTCCGTCTGCCTCCCCTCCCCTCGTTGTTCTCGTCTGTCTTGCTGATTGCTGACAGAGAAGGGTGTGTGCTGGCGTTGTTGTTATCTGTTTACAAGTCAGTATTTGTTCAGAGCTCGATCATGTTACAGGAGAACTCATGCTGTTCTCTGCCACGTTCAAACGTACGACACGCAAACTTTCACATGCACACAGCGACACAGGTAGAGCAGCCCCAACAGTAGTCCAGTTTAAAGTGTCAGATGACCCTCAAGCAGTCGCTGAGACATCAGTCTCCAGCTGAAATTCTTGAATGTTGGTGCCCCGCAGCAAAGGGCTTTTTCTTTTTTTTTTTTTTCATAACTTCTAGACCTCACAGGATTTTTAAAGTTTGTTTTTGTATTTTGTCATTATTGTTATTTTTCCAGTCCCCCTGGATGTAATGACATGCATACAAAAAATATTAACAGTTGAGAGGTGTGAAGGTGCATTTGGAGGATCTTTACAGACGGTGAGCTGTTTGAGAAGAACGCTGTGTGAGTGAACGAGACCACTAACCAGCCAAACCAAACATTCTTGACTCCCGTCTGCAGGTTGTCTGCTTTATAAACTGCAATTTATTTTTCTGATGTTTCTCCTCTTCTTTTCTTGCTGCACAATGTGTTCCCTGTCCGTTTGAGCTTTCTGGCTCATTTTGACATGTTGATATATGTGACTAAATAGTAGTGTTACAAGAAGAGAATATATAGGGTATGTAAATAAATACACAGCCTATATATTGTGTGAACTAAATATGTTTATTTGAAATGTGTTTTATAATCCTATAAAATTTTATATAGACATGCTTAAAGTAAAATGCAAGAAAATTATATTAAAATTTGTAATTTAAAAAAAGTAAGGTCCTAATAAAATAGCTTTAAGATGGATTACATGAGCATTAAGCTACCGCAGCGCCCTCCTTATGTATGTATGCATATTCAAAATTGTTTGTGTCGATGTCAACTGTGTTTTTTTTTTTTTTAGCACGATGTGTCAGCTGGAGCTCTGAAGGCAGCACTGGACGGAGTGGTTCAGGAGTGCGTGAGCTTTGTGGGGGTGGACATCAATATCTGCTCTGAGACACTGATGAGGTAGATGATGCAAAAAGTATGCAGGATTTTTGTGTGAAAGCGTAAAGTACTAATAAACAGTGTTTTCATGAATAGTGCCATTATACCCGTAGTACACTGAAAAACGTGAGGAGGACTGATCTTAAAGAAGTTGTCTCAGGTTGTTTTGTTTTTTTTGTAAATTTAGAACATCTCAGTTGATTTTCTTTCATGACGTTTTCCCTTATACAGAAAACATTGATCTGCAGAGACTACTACTATTTCCTGTAGTACTACTTTTTTTTTGTTTGCTGAAGATACTGGTAGTTGTTCTTTATTTAGGTTTTGGAGTTTAGGTTTTAATGAATGGCCAATAAGCTATCTTCCTGATGCAGAATCCATGAAAATCTAAACATCAGAAATGCCTCAATCTTTGCACATTGTTGTGCACATGTCCTCACAGCAGGTGTGTGTTTTCACATTTGTGCCTTGTTCTGTATTTTCCTTGCACATGCTCAGACACCCATTCAAATTCTGAGAAAGAGATGAAGTTGGGCTCAGCCTTCTGACATACTTTTCCTTTGCAGTCACAACATGGCAAAGCTTCATTCACACTCCTGAACAGGCGTGTGATTAATTCACATACACACAAACGGGCTGCCAGTTTTCTGTTTAGACTAAAGCTTCACACCCGGGCCCCAATTACTGGGCTGACTGGAATCATCTGAGAGGATTAGGCAAAGTCACACACACAAAAAATGTATCTAGACGTTGAAACTTTTCAATACATGACCTAACTCCTTGTAGAACACTGCTGCAGATGTATTTGCAGGTTTTCACACAAGACTCAAAAGGAGAGGAAGTACACAGATTTGATGTATACTCTGTTTTTGTTATTGACACAAACTGTATGAAAAAAGCTGGCGTAGACTCCGAGACAGGCATCAGGTCATCTGTTTACTTGTCTGCTCTACTAGAGAGTTTTTTCCATTTCTGCCACCAGTTAAGCCACACTCACATACACAGACTTTAAGCATAGAAACGTGTTGATGACTGACGTATTATGTGGAGTGTTGACATAGCAGTGTGTTTTAGAGTGAGTGACTCACTGTGGGCATTAACAGGATTGACCTAATTGAGTTTCAGATCACCTCTCATCTTTGCTCTGCCAAAAGTGAACAAATGTTCTCTGAATATCATTTTTTTTAGTGTAATACCACCACTTGTTCCAGCTTTAATTTACAATTATAAAAATACTTGCAGTATTAATGATTGTATAGATATTTAAATGGGACCTTTTGTGTATAGGCACCCATGGTACACTAAAGGGCTTTGGATTAAATAAAGATCTGTTGAGAGTTTCCCAGAAATTATTCAGAAAAAAAGATGTAGTGAATCTTTTTTCCCCCCCTCTGTTATTACTTGTTTCGTTTTCCAGGCATGTAGCAGGACTAAATGCTGGCCGGGCTCGGAATATTGCAGAGTGGCGAGAGAAGAACGGTTCCTTCATCAACAGAGAGCAGCTTAACCTAGTCAAAGGCATGGGACCAAAAAGCTACCAACAATGTGCTGGCTTCATCAGAATCAACCCTCAAACACTAAACAGGTACTTGCTTCTTTCTGGCCAGTACCAAAACACCAACAAGGACTTGAACAAACTTATATCAGACACGTTTGCAAATAAATAGTTTAGAATTGGATCATTAGACACTTTGTTTGTAGCAGAATGTCACAAAGTTACACAATTAATTTTCATTATTTAATTATGATATTGTTCAAGGTGATGTGTAATAGTTTTGCACCATCAAGGTGATTACAATTAATTAGCTGCAAACCTGGCCAAGTCAGCTGCTAACAAAAAATAAATCGTAATAAGAAATCAAACTTGTTTGTTCGGTTTTAACAACAGTAGTTCATCTCTTGAATTTAAGTGCCTTTTTATTGTTGAATGAGTCATAGGTTGGTGTAAAACAGGTTACAAAACATTAAGAAAAAAACAGTCATGTAAACATGATAAGTTACTTTAACTGGACTGAACATGAGTGACAAAGCAACTAATGGCCAACTTTAAAATAACTTAAAAAAATGCTGTATGTTGCTCGTGACCACTTCAGAAAAATTACAGAGAGGTCTGGTTCTTTGGAAGCAGATTAAAATAAAAGCAAGCGGGCTCAAGAATTGTACGCCTTGCTCGAACTTTTTCAGTATGCCAAGTGCCAAAGCTAAATACCACTACAAATAAATTTAAGCATGTGTTTAGTGTCTGCGGAATTATCTATCTGATATTAAGTTTAAAAGCAAAAGCCACATTTTGTAAACATGTCTGTGTTTTGTCATACAGTGTCAACTCCTCATCTCAATCTGCACCAGCAGCATCAGAGAAACCACTGGCCAAGAAGAGCAAAGGAAAGACTGGAGCTAGCATACCAACCTCATTAAACCCTCTGGACCAAACCTGCATACACCCTGAGTCCTACCATGTGGCACAGAGGTAAGACAAAAACACACAAGCACACACTTGTACAGCAGCATACCCCACTGGCCAAAACATGTTCAGGCTAAGATGGAGCTGATTTTAACACCATCTCATATGGTGTTGGTTATAGTGGTGGAGGACTCTGATTTGATTAAGCAGACATGGGATCCGAGAAAGGAGGCGTTGGCTTTGTACATGCACATGGTGGTGTGTGTCCTTGTGAGAGAAATGATTGTTAGCGCTGCTGATGCTGTTATCAAAAGCACATTGAACATCTGCCACAGAAATTTGTGTGTGTGTAAGTGTGTAGCTTTCGCTCCTGCAGCTGTAGTCACTCAGCTGTGTTTAGTCTACATAAGTTCTGACACTAGTGGTTTTAAGCATTACGCCCCTCATGTTGATCTGCCTTTAATAGTCTCAGTACGTGTGTGGGATAATACGTCTCTTTGCACACATTCAGATAGATTGGTGCTTCTTTATAAAATAGTTTTTCCTATTTTAGCCAAACACCACTGGTGACACATTTTTTTATGTCTAAATAAAGGTTGAATGAAAATTTACTTTGATGGTACATAAAAAAGCCAAATACAGTGCCTTGCGAAAGTATTCAGCCCCCTTGAACTTTTCAACCTTTTGCCACATTTCAGGCTTCAAACATAAAGATATAAAATTTTAATTTTTGTGGGACACAATCGTGAAGTGGAATGAAATGTATTGGATGTGTCAAACTTTTTAACAAATAAAAAACTGAAAAGTGGGGCATGGATTATTATTCGGCCCCTTTACTTTCAGTGCAGCAAACTCATTCCAGAAGTTCATTGAGGATCTATGAATGATCCAATGGTGTCCCAAATGACTGATGATGATAAATAGAATCCACCTGTGTGTAATCAAGTCTCCGTATAAATGCACCTGCTCTGTGATAGTCTCAGGGTTCTGTTCAAAGTGCAGAGAGCATCATGAAGACCAAGGAACACACCAGGCAGGTCCGAGATACTGTTGTGGAGAAGTTTAAAGCCGGATTTGGATACAAAAAGATTTCCCAAGCTTTAAACATCCCAAGGAGCACTGTGCAAGCAATCATATTGAAATGGAAGGCGTATCAGACCACTGCAAATCTACCAAGACCCGGCCGTCCCTCTAAACTTTCATCTCTAACAAGGAAAAGACTGATCAGAGATGCAGCCAAGAGGCCCATGATCACTCTGGATGAATTGCAGAGATTTACAGCTGAGGTGGGAGAGTCTGTCCATAGGACAACAATCAGTCACTGCACAAATCTGGCCTTTATGGAAGAGTGGCAAGAAGAAAGCCATTTCTCAAAGATATCCATAAAAGTGTTGTTTAAAGTTTGCCACAAGTCACCTGGGAGACACACCAAACATGTGGAAGAAGGTGCTCTGGTCAGATGAAACCAAAATCGAACTGTATGGCCACAATGCAAAACGATATGTTTGGTGTAAAAGCAACACAGCTCATCACCCTGAACACACCATTCCCACTGTCAAACATGGTGGTGGCAGCATCATGGTTTGGGCCTGCTTTTCGTCAGCAGGGACAGGGAAGATGGTCAGAATTGATGGGAAGATGGATGGGGCCAAATACAGGACCATTCTGGAAGAAAACCTGTTTGAGTCTGCAAGAGACCTGAGACTGGGACGGAGATTTATCTTCCAACAAGACAATGATCCAAAACATAAAGCCAAATCTACAATGGAATGGTTCACAAATAAACGTATCCAGGTGTTGGAATGGCCAAGTCAAAGTCCAGACCTGAATCCAATCGAGAATCTGTGGAAAGAGCTGAAGACTGCTGTTCACAAACGCTCTCCATCCAACCTCACTGAGCTCGAGCTGTTTTGCAAAGAAAGAATGGGCAAGAACTTCGGTCTCTCCATGTGCAAAACTGATAGAGACAAACCCCAAGAGACTTGCAGCTGGAACTGCAGCAAACGCGACGCTACAAAGTATTAACGCAAGGGGGCCGAATAATATTGCACGTCCCACTTGTCAGTTTTTTATTTGTTAAAAAATTTGACACATCCAATAAATGTTTTTTCACTTCATGATTGTGTCCCACTTGTTGATTCTTCACAAAAAAATAACATTTTATATCTTTATTTTTGAAGCCTGAAATGTGGCAAAAGGTTGAAAAGTTCAAGGGGGCTGAATACTTTCGCAAGGCACTGTAATACATGAATAAAAAGTACATGTATTTTTTCGTGCTTACTTTACCATCTAATTTTTTCTTACTTATTTTTGTTCTTCATTAATTGTTCTGCTGTTCAAAATTGTAATCCTGTGCTGGTAAATGTGCTTTTTGCCACGGCTATATTATCTTCTCACTTTGGGAATTAACTCAATTTACTTTGATTAACATTTTATTAGATGTTGGTACATTTTGTGGTCTTACAGAATTTTTGAAACTTCCATTTTTTTTTTCTTAGGAGTTCCCTAGACTGTTCAGTCGCTGACATTTCTATTTGATCTTTTAACATCCTCACCTACAGCTGATAAAATCAGAAGGTTTGGAGGGAGAATTGTGATGGAATGCTCTTTGTCAGCATTCATGTGTGTTGTGTCTTTATGCTGTATATGGAATATCATGTTCATCACATTAGTGGAACTAGATCCTCCATTACTGCTCACAGCCCACACATCAGCCCCCTTTTTGAAACTATAAACCCACACACGCATAAAGCAGAAACACAAAAGCACTGACACATTTTGGCCAACATTTCTTTCATAAATTTGTCTAGTTTTTTTTTTTTTTTTACAAAAATGTTTTTCCCCCCTATAAAATATCAATACTCAATGTGAGAAGATCAACTATAAATGTATGTTTCAAATCATTTTAGAATTGTTATATGTTGTTTGTTTGTCCATTCCATTGATATTAGCAATAATCTGTTTTGGAGGCACAAGGGCTTCGATGCGATGGAAAAATTCCTAATATGTTATAGTCAGGACCCAGTATTTCTAAAACACAAGACATACTGGGTCCTTGCTGTGGACCTGGATACAACATATAGCTCAGCATATCCAACCCTGCATTCACACACACCACACATACCCACATGCATAGTAGTGTCAGTAATTATATAAGCATGAATCCAACGGTGGAGGAGGCCTCTGGGCTCCTACTGCTCTTTAAATAGTTACACACAGCTCTGAAAGTTGAGACGGCCAGTACACACACACACACACACACATTTGAAAGCAGGATCCAAAATCTCTCAGCTTCTCGGATCTTGCATTTATTACAACTCAAGTTAAACAAACAAGCTTACATTGTTTTTGGAAATTGATAACGATCTTTTTCTCTCTCTCTTTACCTCTTGAATGTGTGTAATTTTTTAGAATTTGAACAGATTTGAGTACCGGTTGAGGAAAGCTTGTTTATTCTAAACTTGCGCAGATTTTCTTTGACTATCTGATTTTAATTTTGTGGGGAGCTTATTCAGATTGTGCCGTGTTGAGTTAAATCATAAATGTCTACATCCTATTCCTGACTGGGTTCCATCTTGGAGGTGTTTTGGGTATCTTTTGGACAGCTAAGTCATCAAAGCACTGTTTCTTCTCCTGTAGAAATATACACGTTTTTAAAGCTGAGAAGCTTAGGCAGTCACAAGAGAGAAGACCTCAGCGTTAGGCACAGTGTAGTCTAGAGGTGTTTGTTTCCTCACCACTATTGCCACTAAGCCATTTCTGGGCTTATCCTCACCCATTATTTTTTTCTCATCTAGCTTACCGGTGTTGAGAGATTGATTCAGCTCAAATCCCTCCTCTTAGTCAGTGATTTCAGTGGCAGAGCCTCTCAGCTCACAACTGTCTCATACAAAAGTTTGTACACAAGCTGTTTTGTCCCTGCTCCTGCCAATTGAGCATTTCTGAGCGACACTGTACATGAATCAACTTTGTGTACATGTGTGTGTCCACCTGTTCTGTCCATCACGGGGTGGACAGCTGCGGAGCCTGTTTGGCGTCAGGCTTCCAGTGAGCGACATCCATCTTGGACGCTTCCCAAAATGGTTCAAAAATGTACACATGCGTGGAAGAAAATGCTTTCACGTCTATCACCAGCTGTGCTCAGTGTCTGCTGTAAATAATACATACTCTATGCACAACACACACACACAGCCACACTTATCTCATTCTTCCATTACTCTGTTTTGCTACTTTGGACAGCTTGTCACTATGTCTGGTTAGATTGTAGACCAGCTAATTAGGCTAGGTTTATATTTCAAGTCCAGTAAATTTGTAATGGTGCAATCTGACTGATTGTCTAGACATTATGGTGTGTGGCATCATGTTAGAATAAAGTTGTACATGTGTGATTGGCAAGCTAGTAGTCCAGTTCTAGCACAGCAGAGGCCGTGTCATGGAGCAAGGTGTCAGGGTGTTTACAACCCAATGTGGATGTATGTACCTGATTTACGAGGAGATAAATAAAATGTGTTTTTGCAAATGGAAAGCTTCACCTCAGCAGCTGATGAAAAATAACACCCTCATTTCCCTCAGCTCCCACTGAGTTGCAAAGAACTGTTGGGTTGTTTTGTGTTGATTATTTTTTTTTTTTCCCCAGTTTTCTCAGGGTCTTACTAAAACATTGAAATAAATTGATGTCTGGTGTTATATTTTGAGACTAAGTGTTGTGGTTTTGCTGATGTGCTTGGGAATAATTTTCCTGTTGCACGAGTCAGTTTTAGCCAAGCATGACGCTTTGGACAGTTGCTCTCACATTTGACCCTGAAAATATTTTAGTCTAAGATGCTTGTAGTCAGTTCAGTGACCACATAGTCCTGCTGACAAACAAGCACAAATTATCATCCCTCCACCTCTGTGCTTGACAGTTAATAAGGTGTTTGTGCTCATACTCTGTAGTTGTTTTCTACCTAATGTGCATTATGAACAAACAACTCTATCTATGTATCTCTTCTTGTCTTTCCAAAAGACATTGTTCCAAAATTTGTAGTTTGTTCAGCTGCAACTGGGTGGTTGGACTAAGCTTTTATTAGAATGAATTGTGTACCACAGTATCCTTCTATCAAGGTTAGAACACTGGATTGGGATTACAGGTGTAGCATTAGAATGGTTCTGTTCGTACCTAAGTGACAGGAGTTTCTGTTTTAAGATTGGAAACAGTGTATCCGCGTCAGTGTCTCTTTCCTGTGGGGTCCCACAGGGCTTGATTCTTGGATACTTTTTGTTTTCACTCTATCATTGGGGTCTATTCTGAGGAAGCATGGCCTTTCGTTTTATTTTTATGCTGATGATTGTCAGATTCGTCTGCACTTAAAACCCAACAGTTCTTGCTCCGTTCGACCTCTGTTAAAATGTCTTTATGACATCAAGACATGGATGGCTTCAATTTTTTTAAATTTTAATCAAAAAACTAAAGTCTTTTTGTTTAGCCATAGCTCTTCCGCTGTCTCTGATCCTTTAAATCTTGACTGTCTTCAGCCTTATCTTAAGCAGTCTGTTACAAATCTCAGGGTGGTTTTAGACTGACTTTAAGTTTAATAAACATATTAACTTTGTTCTACAAAAAAACTTCTTCCAGTTAAGTCAGATAGCTTGAGTCCGTGTTGACCAGATCTGATCTTGGAAAAAAAAAAATTCCATGCATTTGTTCCAAAGTGGCTGGACTACTGTAATGCGCTGTATGTTGGGGTCAGTCATGTGTCCCTTTCACGTGTCCAGCTCATCCAAAATGCTGCAGCTCAGCTCTTAACAGGAACTTGTAGGTTTGACCACATTTCACCAGTTTTGTCCTCCCTTTACTGGCTCCCTGTGCATCTCAGAATTGATTTTAAATTTCTCCTATTGACCTTTAAGTACAAATGGCCTTGCGCCCTCATACCTCTTTGACCTGCTTGAACCATACGCTCCTTTTTGGGCACTGAGATCATCAGACCATCTGCTTTTGGTTGTACCAAAAACCAGGCTGAAGCTCAGAGGAGATCAGGCCCAAACTTTGGAACAATCTGTCCCTCAACATTAGACAGGCCACTTCACTTCCTGCTTTTAAATCTCCTAAAACACACCTGCATTCACTGATGTTTAACGCAGCGTGATTTGATGTAGTATTTCATTGTTTCTGTTTTTTTATATTTTTACTTTTGTTGCTTTTAATTGCATCTCGTTATTTTTTAATGCCTTGATCTTATTGTTAAGCACTTTGGTAACAGCTTCTGTTTTAAATGTGCTTTATAAATAAATTTGACTTGACTTGAATTACCGGTAGGCAGATTTTTGTTGGCTTCACTTGATTGCTTACGTGTGTGGATGTTAGAATTTTTTTAGATTTATTTATTATTATTTAAGGCAAGAAATTGTCGAACCTCTTACAACAGTGCTTTGATTGATTGATTTTTTTTAATTATTATTATTTTCATCATGACTTTTTCATCATGTACTTTGCCTATCTCCTGATCTTATAACAGATATTTTGTAAACTTTAAATACCCGTTTTCTAAAAGTTGTTCGTCATATATTTGTTTTCAGAACAAACCTGGAGACATTTGCTGTTTCAAATGTGTTTTATTTTGCAGAAACTCCTCTGTGTGTTTATTATAAGCATGGACTATTTAAATTTGAAATGTTTTCAGCAATAATTATTGGAAGAGAAAAAAATACATATGAAAAAGTGCTGCTTAAAGAATTCAACCTATTTATATTTTCAAAGATCGACATGTATTAATGATGTAAATTGATCAAATAAATACCCCTAACGCTATTTTTATAATAAAATACATTTTTGACATGCAGTTAGGTTTGAATTTTAATAAATACAACTCGATAATCATCTATGACACAGTTTTAATTTCAGTTAAATTAGAACAGAATGGTCAAATATTTGAAAAGACAGTCTTTACTTTCATGACAGAAGTGTTTTGAAGTAGTATTTGTAAAATTTCAAACGTGATATAATTTTTTTTTAAAATCATTGGTTTATTCATTTAAAAAGTAAAATAATAAAGTGGAAACTATTTTAAAATTCAATTCTGAATCAATGTTTTGTCTTCTAGTTTGTTTCTTCTTTTCATCATCAGCTTCTTATTCGTGTTTTTCTGTTTAGGTTTTTGTCCCTTGTTGGTGGGAATGTGGACCAAATTGGAAGCACAGGTCTGCGGTCCTGTGTAGAGAGCAAAGTTAAGACCAGCTGTGTTGAGGAACTGGCCAAAGCAGTGGACACCACACCCGAGACCCTCAGACTCATCATAGATGGCCTTACACAGCCCCCCGGGTTTGACATTCGACAAAGTAAGACGTGTTCTTCTCACTCGCACAATTTATTGAATCTCTTTGGTGACACATTGTTGGTCCACAAAGTCAGGGAGGGAGAGAGGGTTATACAGGTGCATCTCAAAAAATTAGAATATCGTGAAAAAGTTAAATTCCTTTTGTCAGTCATTTCAAAAAGTGAAAATTTTGTTTTGCATAGATTCTTTACACATAGAGTTAAATATTTGTTACTTGAAAATTATTATGATTGAACTAATTGTTTGAAAAAAGGGGCAGATATAATAAGATTTTTTTCTTCTTTCCGCTGCCTTTCATTTTAAATCTCTTGTATTTTTTTAATATTGTTATGGAATTGTTTTGTATTTTTTTAAATGAATAAACTTTATACCAAATATTTCAAGCCTTTATTTCTTGTTATTTTTATGATTTTTACTAACAAATAATGAAAAACTAAAATTCTGTGTCTCAGAAAATAAAAAATTTGTGAAGAGGTTCAGTACTGTAAACTCCCTGGTGTCACACTCTGATCAGTTCATTAACTCCTACATGAGCTAAAAATGTCTCGTTCATCAAGTCAAGCCTCTACTGAACCAGAAACAACATCAGTAGCATCTTACCTGGCTGAGGAGACAAAGAACTGGACTGTTGCTCAGTGGTTCAGTGTCCTCTTTTCAGATTAAGGGTGCATTCACACTAGCCCTGTTTAGACCGCTTTAATCGAACTCTAGCTCGTTTTCCTTGAAAGTCCGGTTCGTTTAGGGAGGTGTGAACGCGCCATCAAACTCTGTCACGGAACAAAAAGGCGAACTCTGGCCCGGGCTAAAACCTAGGTCTCGGTCCAGTAGAAGAGAACTCCAGCGCGGTTCGAGTACAGTGTGAATGTAAACAGACCGAGCCCCGCTCCGCAGGACAAACAAACAGCATTTCTCTGACCTTATATGGAGCCGTCAGCTGACTTGTGTGGAAAACAATATTCTCCATGGTCTTCTGTCTCATCTTCTGCTCATGCTAAGTCCATTTTTGAAAAATGACAAAAATATAACTCCTAAAACTTGATGCCACTTCATTTTTATTTTTATTTACAGAAGAAGAAGAAGACGTGTCTTCAGAGGTTTTTGTGTCGTTTCTTTCAGTAGTTCTTGGTGCAGCGCCCCCACAGGCGAGCGGGGGAACAGGTTGGTTCAACAGGTTGACTTGACTGCACAGTGCAGTGTGAATGCAAACGCACCAGCTCAAATGTAAACAAAAGCTCATGAATATTGGTCCCGAACCGAGTCTACCGGACTATCTGGTGTGAAAACGACCTAAAGTAAATTTTCATGTAATTTTGGAAATCAAGGTCCCAGGGTCTGGAGGAAGTGTGTTGAGGTCCAGAATCCATGTTGCTTGAAGTCCAGTGTGAAGTTTCCACAATCAGTGATGGTTTGGGGCCATGTCATCTGCTGGTGTTGGTCCACTGTGTTTCTGAAGTCCACAGTCCACGCAGCATCTACCAGGACATTGTAGAGCACTTCATGCTTTCTTCTGCTGACTAGTTTTATGGTGCTGCTGTTGTTTGGTGTATTGTTTTGCACCATGAGTGACTAGTGTATATCTTAGATCTTGTAGCGTACCGTTTGCCGTTCGTTTAGTGTATATCTTAGTTTTTATCTTAGATCCTTATTTACTGTTTCTTTTTACACTTTATATTTTTGCTATTGTTGGATGTAACTGGGACCCTGTGTACAGAATTTCGTTCCACCTCATCTACCTCGTGATGCGAATGACAATAAAGAACCTTGACCATGACCTGCTGATTTCATTTTCCAGCAGAACTTGGCTCCTGCCCACACTGACAAAGATACCAAAATCTGGCTGTGGATTATTATAATTTATATCTGAGACGCTGAATTTTGGTTTTTCATTATTTGTAGGCCATAATCATCAAAATTACAAGAAATAAAGGCTTTAAATATTTCACTCTATGTGTAATGAATCTATTTGACTTTCTGAAATTTCTGAAATGATTGACCAATAATTTGAACCTTTCACGATGTTCTAATTTTTTGTGATGCTCCTGTAACTAACCCACTGAGATAAAGTCAAGGTCATAAGAGGAAAATGTTTTCAATAAATGTGTTGAAATTTAAAATAAGCACATAAAAAACATTATTACAAGCTGTAACAAATGCAAACTGGACTCAGCAGCATATCTGTCCTCTGTACTTTTATATATATATTTGTGAAAAGGATTAATCTCCCAGCATAAAACTCTCAGAACTTTGAATCACATGAAGGTTTGTAGTCATTTCTGCATTCTAACAGTCTCAATAATCTTTTTTAATCTCTCATCTTTTCTTCATATTTTCTTTAAACGAGTCCCAGTTGTATTTTCCTGCTTTTTTAGAATGACCACACACAATGTCTTTTCTTGCCGTTAGTATAATAACCAAGTCTTGGCCAGCGCTGTGGTTTCAACAGAGGATGGTCCAACAGATTTTCTTTTTGAACAGATTATCTAACAACAACAACAAAGCAAAAACTGTTTTTGTTGTTGTTGTTGTTTGTGTTTTTTTTGTTTGTTTTTTTTACTCGGAGCCTGTTTTTTTTTTTTTTTTTTTTTTATTGAGTACCGGTAGATACATTTAACAAAATTAAAATAATCTAAAGTAATTTGTGATTCTTTGTTTTAATGCGTTTTTGTTCTGCAAAGCTGATATGTTGATAAAGAGTAAACAAAGGTGAAAACTTCCTCTAAAATTCAGAGTGGAAGTGACTTACTGGTATAAGTTTTCTCCCCTATTAGTTGTCAGACCAGATGGTTAAGCACAGAAATATTCCTCTCTCATTGAATCAGACTTTTTTTATATATAGTTTTATGTAACCAAAAGCAGTCCCACCTGTGAAGCCACTTTGATGCCTTTTAAAATTAAGAAATGCAGCTTCAAGGTTCATTCTCAGGTTGGACCTATTCGGTTGCAGTTTTTTCTTGGCCTTCAGGACGGCACTCGGCTGAGTAAACAGATGGACTGAAGCTGCACTGGTGAGAGGAGAATATTCTTGCAGTAGACTGAGGAGAAAATTTGTGCCAGACGGTTTCCTGGGTCATAAGCCTTTTGTTGCTGATACAACAGCTCTTATAAGCAGGCAGAATGGAAACAAAGGGTATCCAGAAGACAGGGAAATGTGGCAGCGGTGTTTGTAGACAAGTATTCTGTTACTGCTGGTAATATAATATGTTTATCATTTCTAAGCACCCCAGTATTTTCCTGCACTTCCTCTTCTCTGTTCCCATTTTTTATTTTTTTACTAGTTTCCTCCTCCTCTTTCTTATCTGACCTCACAAAATCCTCTTTTCTACTTCAGCTTTTTTCTTTTTTTTTTTAAACATTCCTTCTCTCGACTTGTCTTTGCCAGATTTCGGGCAGGCGGACTTTAAGCGAGGCATTGTGTCAATGAGTGATCTACAAGTCGGTGCGGTGCTGACAGGCCGGGTGGACAACACAACTCTGTTCGGAGCTTTCGTAGATATTGGTGTTGGACGCGCGGGCCTCATCCATAAGAGCAACATCACTTTGAACAAACTGCCCATCAGCAAGCAGCGGCGCAGCTTGGCTCTGGGGCCTGGGGAGCGGGTTGAAGTCCAGGTCCTCAATGTTGACGCGCAAAGGGGACGGATTGGGCTGGATCTGATCAGGGTCCTTCAATAGATCCATTTCATTCCTTTCTATATTATGCTGTACGGTGACCATACATGTCACAAGGAATTAAACTCATGGCAAGATGCGAGACAATTTATTTCCTGATGTTAGAAATTTTGGATATGAACTGAAATGCTGCTTATGAGCAAATCAAACACATTCACATCATCCAGAAAGGAGTTGGGTGCCTGTATCGGGACGGTTCATTGTGTTTTCAATAAAAGTCTGTCATTTGAGGAGTGCTGCTGATTTTAGTATGTGATAAATAAATTAAAAAGCACAACTATTACATTATTTGAATATTATTCACAGTGTTAATATACATAAATTAGCTTGAATATGTAGATAAAGTCAACTTTTCAAATTTTTTTTTTTTGCTAAGAAACATTTTTGTGTACATTGTTGTTACTAATTCCTAATGTTTTCCTAAACATATAAAACTGCATCTAACAAGCAAGCAAGCAAGCACGTTAAAATTAGTTTTTCTTTCCCACATTTCTTCTAACGTGCATTTTCTTAAAAAGTACAATTAAATAACAATATTTGTATCTTTTAGAGAGGACAGGTACATATGGTAACTGTTCTGACAACAAGCAGAAAACGTTATAATAAAAGAGAAGAGCTCTTGTGATGGAAGGAGAAAAAGGTACACTAAGTTTTGATTACAAACAATAAACTAAAGATAAAATGAGGGGGGCGGCGGGGTGTGTGATTGTTTGGTGGAGACACAAGGAAATGATAGGGTTTCTCTTTCTCTGACTGCAGTTATGCCTGAAGGCTTTTTAGGCTTCGTCCCAGACACAATTATCCCATGACACACAAACGCCCTAATCAGCTGCTTCAAAATTAATCCCAGACTCCCTGTTCACATTATCTAATTTGTTTGTTTTTTGAAATTGAAAAATTCAACAAAATAAAAACCAACTCTAAATATGTTTCTAAGAAAGCCTGGGGTCCTAAGCATTACACTGAATGCAGATTGCCTAATCACTGGGAGGGCCGATGCTTCACTATCTCCCTTTGGGTCAACAACGGGAATATGTTTTAGTCACAAACGCAAAGAGATGTTTGATCAAATGTAATCATGAGTGAAGTTCTGAGAAAAAAAAACTGAAATATAGTTTAGATCTCATCGTACTGCATGTCATTCTGTTGTTAGGCAATGATTTTTCCAAATATTTTCATGTTCAGATCAAATAGTTGTATTTGATGTTAACTTGGCTGTGTCAGTTTCTTTTGTTTCCTTCTTTTAATAAACTTGGCAGATGCTCTAGTTTTAGTGTGTCCCGTGTTTTTGTTTTGGTGGGGTACATGATGGAGTAAGCACAGCTTCCCTCAGCACCGTTCCTGCTTCCTCCCTTTACTAAACGTGAGGCCGCAGACGGGACAGGCAATCTGGCAGCCAGCTACCGCTGCTCCTTGGCGTTTTAGTCGAACACTGTCCAGTAATGAGATTGTGATAAGACACAGACTAACTGCAGCTGAAGCTGTGTGTGTCTGTTCTCTGCTACTGCTTGGGTTGTGTGTGCTCAGGTGCACTCTTAGGTTTTAGAAGAAAAAAAACCAACAACAATGGTATGCTAGATTTATTCAACTTTTATTCATACAGGGTAGTCGCATTGAGCCTCGAGGACTCATTTACAAGAGAGACCTGTTTATAACAAAGAATGATGACAACAGTAGACAATCATAAAATAAAGCATATACATTAAAAAAAATTAATGGAAGAAAATTATATTTAAAAAAAAAACGAAACAAAAAACAGCTACATTGTAAATCAATGTAAAATACTAAAAACGTTAACATGTCTGCGTTAGTTTTTGCCAGGAACTTAGCAGTTGTTTAAAGCCACGAGGTCAGGAGCTTCAGATCTTTTTGCAAGATATTCCAGGAAACAGGAGCGGAGTAGGAGAAAGCTCTTTTGCCTAGTTCAGTCCTCACTGAGGGAACACTGCAGGTAATAATGTCCTGAGAGCGCACGCTGTAGCTGCACTCACGCAGTGACATGTAGGAGGAGATGTATGAAGGCAGCAGACCAAGAAGTGATTTAAAGATGAATGTACCAGTGAGAGAGTCTGTGTGAAGTTAATGATAACCAGTTAACCAGTGAATACTGGGTGCAGTGCTGGGTACAGTAGTTACAGCCAGTTATGAATGTTAGCTCACCATGATAGACAGCATCCAACATCTGCAGGATGCTTGTAGGAGCGTTCATGTAAATAATTACACCGTAATCAATGGAAGGAGGGGAAATTGCAGTTCAAGACGTTTCCTAGCATTCAGCGTTGGACAGGATCTATTTCTGCAAAAGAAACCAAATTTTACTTTCAGTTTCTTTACCAAGTTTTTGACGTGGGGCTTAAAAGAGAGATGCAAATTGACCAAGATACCTAAATATTTGTAGGAATCGAAAAACTCAATAGGAACACCATTCGAAGATAAAATAGAAGGAAGAACCGCTAGGACTGACTTCCTGTTTGAAAACAACATCCCTTTGGTTTTTGTCTGCATTTAGGACAAGTTTGAAACAGAACAAATCTGACTGAATGATGTTGAAAGCATATTTCAAAAGCTGGAAATCCTTAGCAACTGTTTTAGCTCGACAGTAAACAACTGTGTCATCAGCGTAGAAATGTATGGATGCACCAGCGATGCTCTGACCTATGTTACCTATGTAGATTGTAAAGAGGGTGGGTCCTAAGACTGAGCCTTTTGGTACACCATTGTTAACGGTAAGATAACTGGAAGAAGTACCATTAAGTTTAACACATTGTCTCTGATCTGAGAGATAGTGAACCAACCAGTGGTTTGATCTGAGAAACCAGTTTCTGAGAGCTTATGACATGTCATGGACCACAGTGTCAAAAGCTTTAGACAGGTCTAAGTAAAGTACAGCACAATAAACAATAAAGATAATTATTTCCATGTTTTAATTTACAAAAAACATCAGTTACTTGGTGTTTAAAGGCCAAAGCCAAAAAAATAAATAAATAAAGCAACTTAGACAAAGTTCAGTGTAGGAATCCATTTTGATGTCTATTATTCAGAATTTAACAAGGAAAACCCTTCCATTTCTTTTAACACAGCATCAGTAAAAGTTCTCATGTAACGAATGCATCTTACTAAACAGCAGAGAATCTAATTCATTTAAATACTCTCATCTATTTCCACCTTTCAATAAAGTGCTGAATATTTGAAACGCTGTTTTACCTTGTTAAAAACGTGCATTCTCATAAAAAAAAAATAATGGTTCAATTAGAAAAACCATAAAATAAGCAATGTCAAAATATTTTTATCACACTTATATTAGTGTGGTAGTAGCTGAGAGTCGTTGATAATGTAGGGGTAACTGCACCACCTGTAAAAGGAGTTTTTAATGAGAAAAACAAACAAAATAAAATGACACCATCTTGTCTCATTTGTTAAAGCTGAATGCAGACTTCAGACTACGTTAAATCCCCCTCATACGCTATTTTCCAGCGTGCGCCAACGCACTGACATATTCCAGACAACCAAAAGGGTGAGAAAGACTTTGGCTTTTGACATCGTCAGTGAAAAACAGGAGTGAAGCACAGACAGGAGTGGATGGGAGAGATGGATGAATGGAGTTAGGAGAAAGAAGGATGGAATGAGACAGGAAATGAAAGGCTTTCTCCGGTTTCACTCCCTGTGACCTCATCAGTGTGATCATGGATTTTATGAGCTTTCCTTCTTGACGCCCACGCTCCACCTCACGCGTGCCAGGACACACACACACACTCTTCTGGTCCAATATTTTATTCTCTGGCGTAGAGAAACAGTAAATGTGTTTTTGTATCTCTGTGTTCCCTTTCTCATACTCCTTGTGTCAACATATCTTTGTTCACACAGCAAGATGTTAAATGCTGAAGAAAAGTTTTTTTTTATTGAATTTATCATGGAGTTCCTGTAGTAGAGAGAAGACTTTCTGCATTGCATGAATAAAGACAGCACCACGAGTAAACATCTGTTAATAAGTTAACGCTTGGTTCAGTTTCTTTGGGAACATACAGCTCATTTCCTATAAGCTAACTTATTGAACTCATTAGATTGTTTTAATCAGTAATAAGTCGTCTTGTAATGGAATTTGAAGGGAATATAAAATGTAGTGAATCCAACTTGATATTTACAAATAGCAAATCTACTGAACACTTATATTTCTTAAATATTGGTTTGACATTTCTGCACTTATGGTTTCACCTATAGAGTAAATATAGTAATTGGTGTAAGTTTTTAATTTTGGGCACATCAAAAGTCATGAAGTAAACAGTTGGGGAGGAAACGATTCACGGTTGCAGGATTATTTTTGTTTATTCTTATATTCGGCAATACATTCAGTAAGTTCGTATAGCGCCAAATCGCACGTCGTCTCAGGGCACTGTAGAAACAGTCACATACATATAATGTTGGTTAACGTTATTTATCCGAGGAGCCAACAGATTGCTTTGAGTTTTCACTTTATCACAGTATCTCATCCTAAGCAAGCACAGAGGCAACAATGGAAAGGAAAAACTCCCTCATGAGGAAGAAACCTCCAGCAGAACCAGGCTCAGGACAAGCGGCCATCTGCTTCAACCAGCTGGGTTTGAGAGGAACAGGAAGGAGAAAACAAACAATGGCAGGTCCAGGATGGAGGCCATCATCTTTTCTGACAAAAACACAGAAATCACTTGTTAAAGAATAGTTACAAATACAAACTATTCAGTTGTATGTATTTGTAACTATTAATTTACTTAAATTAGGTCAAATTGTTCTCCAGTGGTCTAAGGTTATAGCAACATAGGATAAAGAATAGCTCAGGAAACCAAGCCGACTGTAGGATTTATCAGAAAGGAAAGTCTTAAGCCTATTCTTAAAATTGGACAATGTGTCAGTCTCACGGACAGAAACTGGAAGTCGGTTCCACAAGAGAGGAGCCTGATAACTGAAAGATCTTTCACCCATTATGCTTTTAGAAACTCTAGGAACCGCAAGTACGCCTGCAGTCTGAGAACAAAGCATTCTGTTAGGAAAATATGGAATAATAAGATCTATAATATAAGATGGAGCTAGGTTGTTGAGAG